AGGTGATAAATAAATACCACACTTGGATAAAACACAAAATTCATTCTGACTCAAAAATGCAAACTTTATCCAGAGAACATACTTTATGAGATCATTTATTTAAAAACATTAGAAAAGATGATTTGTAATGTTAGGAAGCAAATTAATGCTTTCATTACAGTCACAGAGGAATATTTGGGGATGACAGAAATGCCATGTATATACTATATATATTCACTTGTAAAAGCCTAAACTATTGGGGGAAAGTTTGGAGAAAGGGTTTTGCTATGTAGCCCAGGCTGACCTCAGAGTCTTGGTCACACTCCTGCCTCAGCCTCCTGAATGTTGAGATTACAGCAAACTACATTTTAAATGTGTGCTTCTTTTTTTTGTTCATTATATCACAATAAAGAAATGTAAGTCAGTTGACCTACATTTAAAATAGGATCCTCATTTCTTAATTTGTTTCTTCACATTTACTGAATTTAGTAATAACCAAAACAACTGTCTCCTTGGACTCCTGTAAAGAACACAGGTAAAGAGGGGCCAGGGAGATAGCTCAGTAGCATAAGCGCTTGCCTTGCAAGTGCAGGGGCCTGAGTTCAATCCCTGGTTCTGCCTGCCCCCCCCCCAAAAAAAAAGAACGCAGGTAAAGAATGTGAGTCTTCTCAATAAAGTTAATAAAAAATAAAAAAATAAAATAAAATAAAGAATGTGAGTCTTGCCTGGTACTCACATAGTTCTCAGCTACTACAGTTTTGTAACAGAAGTATCAATAGCTTCTATCTTTGCCAGTTTTGCACCAACACTGAGAATGAGCCTCGTCCGGAGCAGGTGTTCAGCACAAAGTATAAATTGTTGAATGAATGAATTTCCCTTCCCGACATGTTTCATTCACTGCCTTGTACAAACCCGGCTCCAAATTAGTGCTGAGTGGATAAGTGGAATGCTCCTGGGAACAGGACTTTGGTGTCCAGTGTTCCTCCTTCCCCACAGGTTATAGAGTTCCTAATCCAGCTTGAAAGACGATTTATGGCTATCACAAGTATGTGTGTTCCCTCTCTCCTTATCATGTATGACTCATTTTCTCTCTAATGGACTTAATGTTGACTCCTTATTTGGTAAGCAGTGCACACCCACTCAGTGCCTGGTGCAGAGCTAACCACTGAAGGTACAAAAAGGAGAGACACACGCACTGAGACGGCTATTGAGATGGGGAGCGGGGGTTGGGGGGGTTGGGAGGGTGTCATGAGCCTGTAATCCCAGCGCTCGGGAGGCTGAAAATAGGAGGATCACTATGAGTCCAATCTGTGTAGTGAGACCCTGTAGACCTTTCAATAAATACATTTTTTTAAAAAGGATGAGTGACACAAGACAAGCATAAAAGTGAGCTGAAGATTCAGTGTCTTTAATAAAATTGAGCCCCCCAACCCACAAACACAGAAAATCTATTTATTTAGGACTTTAATTTCTCTCAGTATATTTCATAGTGCTCAGGGACACAAGATCTGCCTTTCTTCTGCATTTTTATCTCTAGGCCTTTATATTTTTCTTATTGTTAATAATATTCCTTGTTTGATTTCTCCTTTGTTGCTTCTATGTAGGAATGGAATTGGTAGTTATACATTGATCTTATATTTTGCAGTATGGACTACCCCCAAAATTCTGAGTTTTCTAGTGGAGCCTCATGTCAGGCTCTCTGTGAATGTCCAGTAACTTCTTTGCTTTAGGCCAGTTTGTGACATTTTCCCAGTGTCACACACCCAGTGAAAATTCCTTTGTCCAGATGCCAAGGAAGCCCCCCACGCTGATTGCTGAATTGCTTGGCCCTTCTACAAATGGCTTTGTAGACAGTTGTAGCTCAGCAGTTTTGAAATTTAGGCGCTAAATAAACTTTTCTTTCCTTAATTTTGGGCATCAGGTATTTTGTCTCAGTAAAGAGAAACAAATAACTAAGACATCCCACAAATTTTTAAAATTCTGTTGTCCTGCCCTGTATATTAAAGCAAAGTGGCCTAAACAGCTCCCAAACGCAGCGAGCGAGATAGGCAGTGGCTGAGAGCACTGCTGTGTACTCGCTGAGTGGGAGAGAAGTCAGGCGTTGGCCAGGCAGTGCAATGGGAGCTACTCAGCCTGAGAGTCTAACGGGGTGTCCCAGGAGGAGGGATGCCCAAAGCGAGGCACATAGGCAGCAAAAAGCATAGTGGGAGGGGAGAGAGAGGGAGAGGGAGAGGGACAAGGGGAGGGAGAGAGAGAGGGAGAGGGAGAGGGAGAGGGGGAGAGAGAGAGAGAGTCAGAGGTGAGGATCAGTCCAGCACGGAGAAAGATTAGGATTCTCTCGGGCTGTAGCTGTGTGCGTGGTGGGAAACTCGTTTTTCAAACACTGGTTCTCACACTTCTGCTGCTCCCAAACCATCTGGGGATCTATGACCTCACAGCCGTTCACTCCACCCCTGTTTCCGGCTCTGTAGATCTGCACGGGCCTAGGAATCTGTATTTCTGACAGGTGGGTAGGTGATGTTGAGGCTGCTGGTGCACACTGCACTGTGAGAACTGCTGCTCTAGATTTAGAGAGGAGGCATGGGAAACTCAAGACCATCCCCAGCCGAGAGTCTTTTTAAGAAAATAGTTTAAATAAACACATAGTAAGTGCACATTTTTATGGATTACAGTATGACATTTGAATGCAGGTATATAATATATCTGCTCCATCAGGGAACTGGCATAGCTGTTACCTCAGGCATTTATCATTTCTGTTATGAACATTCAAAATTCTGTCTGCCCAGCAAGTCTGGGTCCATATCCTTGATGCTTCCTTCCCTCCTAACCTCCTCCTCTGTGACCTCTAGGACACACTGTAGTTACTGTGGCTCTTAAGGACAGGTGGAAGGATTCACCCAATTTACTATATATAAGGCATCATACTATTTTATGCAAATTTCTGAAAGAACACCGCCCCTTGTGTTCTTAGGAGGTACTACAGCTGGATATGGCCCTGCACATTCTACTTCATAGGAACTTGTGGTCAGTAGTTTATTCTTTCGATGAACACTTATTTAAGTAACATCTGCCACCGTTCCTGAAGACCACCATGATTTCCAGTCCCAAGCCGTGCTGGTTCTTGAGGGGTAAGAGTTCCATCCCTGAGGCAAGGAGTGAAAGTCTGAGAAGCAGGCCATGGATAGGAAACAAGGGGAATATATGTCCCATCTAACTGGGGCACTGTCTCAGTTGCTTTTCACTTGTTGTTGGGACAAAATACCCGGCACTTATAATTAAGGAAGGAAAGGTTTCTTTAGTTCACAGTTAGTGGAGGTTTGGTGTATGCTTGTCTGGCTCCAAAGCAGAGTGGCACATGGCAGAGAGCAGCCTTTCGTGGCAGCAGCAAAGAGCAAGAGAGCGAAGGCAGTGTCAGCAGCTCAGGCAGTTAGCTGGCCTCTCTCTCCTCCATAATTCAGAGCATCTGCCCCAGGGCACTCACACCCATAATCCCAGCACTGGATCAAGAGTCAATCACAAAGTCGAGGAGCCGCTCCATGAGTGCATGAGGCTTTGGGGGGACAGCTAGACACAAGCCCAAACAAGCACACACGGCCCAGCTCCTGACAGCTTACTGGAAGGAAGATCTGCAGGAACCCAAGCAGCACAATTCTAAGCTGGCCAGAGCTCGCACTGAACCTCTAGATGATAAGATGCTGGCCTTCCAGCTAAGTTAGAATAGTT